GCCTTAATGCACAGATGTGATATTATTTATATATATAGTCTCTGTGAGTTCAGGGATACACAGAGGCAAAGGTTGTATCCACAAGTGAAACTATTTGTCTGCTTGCCTGTGCTAGAGGACAGCTCCAGAAACTTGACTGGCTTACTGGCCTAGTTCGTGTGAAGCTCAATCTGTGACCTAGGGGCGAGCACCTGGTGCACAAAAGGCTGGGAGACATAGTGTTTCACGAGTCTCCCTATTTCTTCTGTGTCTGGCTGCATAGGGTCAAGCACCACCCTAGCAATGGCAAGAGAGGCAGGCATTTTGATGATGACTTTGATGTTAGCCTGAAGTCTGACACCTGGCTCCCAAGATAGCATCTAAGCCCCAGGAAACTGCAGCAACCATGGGGGTTGAAAAGCAGTAGGGCTCCCAAATTTCCCTGCGCTGTACGAAGCAGCAGGAGTCAGCCAGGGCTCAGTTCTCCTGGGACATTGCCGTGTGTCCGAGGAGGAGCACCAGGTTTGCATCCGAAGCTCTGTCACCACTGCCCTGGCCAGGCCTCTCAGGGGACTTTGCAAAAGGGATGGGATCTTCCTTTTTAGGCTGTTACTGCAGGAGGGGTAGGGCCTTATTTTATTATCAGTCTGCAGTATGTTGCCTATCCTGCTTCCTTCCTTTTAGTTTATCTGTTTCCTTTTCAGGCAATCAACTACCATTATTTTGAGGTGCTCTCTTCTTTACTGTAATAAGTAAGCAAAATGCTAGCAGCCGTGGGGTTGTTAATCCTTTACAAGATGCCGGTGGCCATGGGGCCTCTAGATGGAGGCACTGGTCACTAAAGACTTGGGTCTGAAGGGTCTTGGTCCTCAGGGCAGGGGAGGGGGTGAGAGAGACTCTGCAAAGGGGGAACAAGGGACCAAATCATCTTCGAAGAACTGCACCACCCTTTGGGAGCCCCGATGCCCCTTCATGTGCGCATATGCACTCTTAGCAAGTACATCTTATCATTATCATAGAAAATTTGAATTGGAAGGGACCTCAGGAGGTCATCTAGTCCAACCCCCCTGCTCAAAGCAGGACCATCCCCAACTAGATCATCCCAACCAAGGCTTTGTCTAGCCAGATTTAAAAACCTCCAAGGATGGAGATTTCACAATCTCTGTGGGAAAATTGTTCCAGTGCTTTATTACCCTCCTAGTAAGAAAGTTTTTCTAATATCTCACCTAACTTCCCTTGCTGCAACTTGAGCCCATTGCTCCTTGTTCTGTCATCTGCTACCACTGAGAACAGTCCAGCTCCATATTCTCTGCAGGGAGTTGAAGGCTGCTATTAAACCTCCCCCTTGGTCTTCTCTTCTCCAGACTTAATCAGCCCAGTTCCCTAGCTTCTCATAAGTCATGTCTTCCAGCCCCCCAACCATTTTTGTTGCCCTCCACTGGACTCTCTCCAATTTGTCCACATCCTTTCCCCAGAACTGAACACAGGACTCCAGATGTGGCCTCCCCAGTGCTGAGCTCACCTCACCTGGTGCTCTCCCCTACCCTGGAGGTCTTCAAGACTGGAGAAGCACCTAGCTGGGGTCATCTCACCCCAGTGTTCTTTCCTACCCAGGGCAGGGGGTCCAACTCGATGACCTACTGAAGTCCCTTCTGACCCTAGCATCTATGAATCTATGAATCCATGAAACAAGGGGAATAATCACTTCCCTCAATCTGCTGGCAACGCTCTTACCAATACAGCCCAGTATGCAGTTAGCCTTCTTAGCAACAAGGGCACACTGCTGACTCATATCCACCTTACTGTCCACTGTCACCCCCAGGTCCTTTTCTGCAGAGGTGCTGCCCAGCCAGTCAGTCGCCAGCCTGCAACGGCGCATGGGATTGCTCCACTGGACTAAGTTGCCAAACACTTTCATTTTGAATCCAATTTTCTGCTGAGAAGCTGAAATTTTCCCTCCTTCCAGGGCCTCCTACTTGTCAATGCTATATGCAAGATTGGTTTCTATTGCTGTGAACCACGCTGCCAGCAGCGTCCAGCAGAGTAGTAGCCTGCAAATGCAATTTAATTGCTTAAACATAAAAATTAACAAGTTCTTTGTGTTCTGCAGCTATCTTTATGGTCTATTCAGCTGCAGCTTCATATTTCTCATCAGTACCTACTGCTTGGGTCCTTGAAGCCTTAATGCACAGATGTGATATTATTTATATATATAGTCTCTGTGAGTTCAGGGATACACAGAGGCAAAGGTTGTATCCACAAGTGAAACTATTTGTCTGCTTGCCTGTGCTAGAGGACAGCTCCAGAAACTTGACTGGCTTACTGGCCTAGTTCGTGTGAAGCTCAATCTGTGACCTAGGGGCGAGCACCTGGTGCACAAAAGGCTGGGAGACATAGTGTTTCACGAGTCTCCCTATTTCTTCTGTGTCTGGCTGCATAGGGTCAAGCACCACCCTAGCAATGGCAAGAGAGGCAGGCATTTTGATGATGACTTTGATGTTAGCCTGAAGTCTGACACCTGGCTCCCAAGATAGCATCTAAGCCCCAGGAAACTGCAGCAACCATGGGGGTTGAAAAGCAGTAGGGCTCCCAAATTTCCCTGCGCTGTACGAAGCAGCAGGAGTCAGCCAGGGCTCAGTTCTCCTGGGACATTGCCGTGTGTCCGAGGAGGAGCACCAGGTTTGCATCCGAAGCTCTGTCACCACTGCCCTGGCCAGGCCTCTCAGGGGACTTTGCAAAAGGGATGGGATCTTCCTTTTTAGGCTGTTACTGCAGGAGGGGTAGGGCCTTATTTTATTATCAGTCTGCAGTATGTTGCCTATCCTGCTTCCTTCCTTTTAGTTTATCTGTTTCCTTTTCAGGCAATCAACTACCATTATTTTGAGGTGCTCTCTTCTTTACTGTAATAAGTAAGCAAAATGCTAGCAGCCGTGGGGTTGTTAATCCTTTACAAGATGCCGGTGGCCATGGGGCCTCTAGATGGAGGCACTGGTCACTAAAGACTTGGGTCTGAAGGGTCTTGGTCCTCAGGGCAGGGGAGGGGGTGAGAGAGACTCTGCAAAGGGGGAACAAGGGACCAAATCATCTTCGAAGAACTGCACCACCCTTTGGGAGCCCCGATGCCCCTTCATGTGCGCATATGCACTCTTAGCAAGTACATCTTATCATTATCATAGAAAATTTGAATTGGAAGGGACCTCAGGAGGTCATCTAGTCCAACCCCCCTGCTCAAAGCAGGACCATCCCCAACTAGATCATCCCAACCAAGGCTTTGTCTAGCCAGATTTAAAAACCTCCAAGGATGGAGATTTCACAATCTCTGTGGGAAAATTGTTCCAGTGCTTTATTACCCTCCTAGTAAGAAAGTTTTTCTAATATCTCACCTAACTTCCCTTGCTGCAACTTGAGCCCATTGCTCCTTGTTCTGTCATCTGCTACCACTGAGAACAGTCCAGCTCCATATTCTCTGCAGGGAGTTGAAGGCTGCTATTAAACCTCCCCCTTGGTCTTCTCTTCTCCAGACTTAATCAGCCCAGTTCCCTAGCTTCTCATAAGTCATGTCTTCCAGCCCCCCAACCATTTTTGTTGCCCTCCACTGGACTCTCTCCAATTTGTCCACATCCTTTCCCCAGAACTGAACACAGGACTCCAGATGTGGCCTCCCCAGTGCTGAACTCACCTCACCTGGTGCTCTCCCCTACCCTGGAGGTCTTCAAGACTGGAGAAGCACCTAGCTGGGGTCATCTCACCCCAGTGTTCTTTCCTACCCAGGGCAGGGGGTCCAACTCGATGACCTACTGAAGTCCCTTCTGACCCTAGCATCTATGAATCTATGAATCCATGAAACAAGGGGAATAATCACTTCCCTCAATCTGCTGGCAACGCTCTTACCAATACAGCCCAGTATGCAGTTAGCCTTCTTAGCAACAAGGGCACACTGCTGACTCATATCCACCTTACTGTCCACTGTCACCCCCAGGTCCTTTTCTGCAGAGGTGCTGCCCAGCCAGTCAGTCGCCAGCCTGCACCGGTGCATGGGATTGCTCCATCCTAAGTACGAGACTTTGCACTTGTTCTTATTGAATCTCATGAGATTTCTTTTGGTCCAGTCCTCCAATTTGTCAAGGTCTCTCTGAATCCTAGCCCTCTCCTCCAGATAGTGGTTAATAAAGACTCATCACTGTTCCTAAGTAGCAGATGGAGACCAATAAACACCGTAAAAACATCATACTTGTCCCAATTCTCAGGTGGCAGAGCCAGGGTGAATGTACTTATTTCCGGATTTCGGCATAATCCGTACCTCACTCCCGCTCTCTGTCCTGATCTTATTTCAGTTGTGGTCCAACCAGTGTGAGATTTCTGAGAGATCCAAACCACATCCCCTATCTTTCCACACTCTACCTTGAAAGTATTGGCATAGAGCACTAATCTATCTTACGTGATCTGCTACCGCTGCCTTCACATGCAAGAAAACTCTCAATTAATAATGAGAACAGTGCTGCTGGCAAAGATTGGCACTTAGTTACAGAAAGACATCCTCCCTAGAGCTAATTCAGCACGTAAGTGCTTGCCAATGCTTGGATTCACACACAAATGCTAGACATATGCTTAGGATGTCACTTGAGGGCATGTAAACTTAGAGACCAGCACATACACACCAACAAAATCACGCTCCATGCTGACCAGCAGAATTAAGCCCTGCGTGTACATATTTCCTACACACATTCACACACAGGCTTACTCCGAGATGAAGAACACAGCAGCTCACTGTTGGAAATTATGCCCTACCCCGGATCCATAAATATTTTTGAAGGGTACTTTAGAAAGAAGCAAGCTCCCTGCACAGCTCACTCTGTCTAAATGCCTCCCTCTCCTTTCACTAAATATAACTGTCTCTGGCATCTTCTAAAAATCCACTGCAGATCCTGTAACTTTAAACCTGGGCTGAGATCATAATTTTAGTGCTGACCAAACAGAGCGAAGAGGGCGGGCTTGGCCTCTTCTTTTTGAGACCACCTTAGGCACCCTCCCACCCCTTGGTTAAAGAAAAAATGCTGACTCCTCTCTCAGTTATTTTTCTTTAGCTGTATTCGTTATCTCTCTGGGAAAGCCTGCCCCTCTAACTACTGCAGTCTAAGGGAATTTCTGCAACTCCAAAAGGTTGTCCACAGGTGGTTTCTCTGTGTGATCTAAACTCCTCTTATCTCTAAAATAATCCACGACTGGAACAGTCTGATCCCAAGACTGGAAAGCTATTCTCTCAACAGAATTAGCCAAGATGTTTCTTAAAACTCTGCTCTTCGTCTTCTTGCTAGGGACTGTACCCTTCAGGGCATTTGCTGAAGAAGGTAAGAAGAATCTTCTGATAAAATCATTTCCCAATGATTTGCTGTAATTCACATACATTTTGTCCTTATTGCTTGGTATGTGATTGTACTGTGTTGTTTATAAAGTTTTCTTTTGAATGCCTAAAGCCACTACTGAGTGTCTAGCTGGATTGTATCAGGAGTGAGACCTGCCAAAGTTTGCAGGCTGATGGAGTTTCCTGGGTGTTTGGAAAAAAAACCCAACAACCAGTTGATGTGCCTGTGGCAGTCAACACAGGACTGCAAGAGGAGTGGCGGTGTATGAACACTCGATGGAGGCATTACATCGTCTCCAGTTTCACAGTGCAATATGTGCAATGGATACTGAGAGCAATAATTTAGCTGCAATTATGAGACCAGCACTCTGACACCAGCTCCTCCCTCCCATCCCCCAAGATCAGTTTTTCCCAAGGAGTGTTTGCCTTTATTCCAGATTGAAGAATGGATATTTCAGAGCGCTCTCGCAATTTGGGGACTTCCATTCTAATGCTAACTTCGCTAGACTCACGGTTGACTGTATTTCTATGATACGCAAGTGTTACGATAGCTTCTCTCAAGCACTTTGAAATGGCAGATTTTGAGGAAATGTAACAAGACGTTATAAGATGTTCTGTGTCTGCTGCGTGCGGGAGGGCGAAGAGTTAGTTTTGTAAACCCTTTCTTTTTGAACGTTATACGTAAGCAGCATGATACACTCTGCATATTGAGGGCTGGTGGATATGTTTTTTTACCCTGATAAAATATACAGGGTCAATTTGGTCCATTACTACTGAATAATGCCGGGCTCTAGAAGTGGTCGCATTGAAATGGAGGTGACCACTCACCAAGTAACATATTACTCATTAGATTCAGAATCTGTGCAACAGGCAATGAATCCAAGTCCGTGGCACAGGATTGGTGTGATAGAGCAGGGTGTTGCCAATATAGTTTGGCATTTCAAACAACAGTGTTTAAAAAATAAGGTGTAAATCGTGCCCCAAATTTTCAAAAGCATATTTTGCACTATTAGGAAATAGAGATCCGAGCCTGAGGTACAGGATCAGAGGCTTGGCTGGCATAAGTCAGCATAGTCAGCATAGTGGACCGTGGCAATTTATAGCATCTGAGGATCCGGCCCACAGGACTTTAGCTGGAATTGTGTGTTTGCAGCACCTTGGAAAAATCACACCTGGAGGGTCTCAAGGTTGGCTGTCAGACTTCACAGAAACCTGAAGTCAACGGCCACTTTTGAAAAATGTTTCTCTTTTTCTATTTTGGGCTCACTAGGATAAGCATCTATGGTTTCTATCCCTGTCATCCAGCCAGCACCTCCTTCAGAGTCCTTAGCAGTGCAGAGCAAATCACAAATCCTATTTTTCTCACTTTATACTGACTCCATACCTGCCTTTCACCAGTGTAAATGATTACACAAAGTGTATAGGACCAGTGAATCAACAGAGTCACTATCCAATTTTTAACCCAGTGCAGTTTCCAGTTATGAAACATGAGACAAACATGGAATTGCTGCATGTAGATGTCTAACCCAGTTAACTAGATGCAGAAATGCAAAAGACAAAAAGGATTTTTATTGATTTATTTATTTTTGGTACGCCTCCTTTCTCCAAACAATAAAGCAAGCATTTTAGGAACTGAGTGGGTATTGTGCACATCTCCGTAGCAAGAGTCACTGAGTGTCTTTCAACACTGCAGTTCAAACAGTGTAAGCCAGAGAAGGTTTAAACACAGGTCTTGTTTATAAGGCTTTTATGGCTGGCTAAGATAGGGCTGAACTCTGGTGACTGATGTAGAAGCTGGCTTACAAGACTATTTTATTAGTGAATTCTTAATAGTCTCGCTAATCTATTGTTTCTAGGTTTTGCAGACACACAGTTCTCAGTAAATGCACTATCAATTATTCTAGAGCCTCTGTATAGTGTGTAAACAAGTCTCAGATGAGCATTTTCATGGCTCCAGTGTATAACAAGTGCCCATTAGTGATTGGTACTATAGATAACTCTCTCAGTGCTAATACAATTTCCTTGACCAGTGAAGACTTGAGACTGAGATTTTACCTAATAATTTCCTCCCCATTTCTAGTGATATATAATACTGCTCAAAATCCAATAAAAACCCACAAGGCAGTACAATCCAAGTGAAAACAAATCTTTCAGTTCACTAAGTGCTTGGAACACGCGTTCATGTCTGCCCTCATCTTCCCTATCCAAACTTGGTTTAACTATCCATGCAAATAGCCAAGTATTCTGTCACATTTTTCACTCAAGCTGTTAATTCTTCTTATCCCCTAATGAGTTTCTGGCCTAAAGCACTTTTTGCAAAAGCATTAGCAGATGCACATTTGTCCTTCTGAGATCCTGCTTCCTGCAAAGCACAACGTTTTGCACACTCCGCCACGCCCAAGCTTATAAAACCCAGAGCATCTGAACCGAAATGGCACGCTCTGGCCCAGACACTCTGATGCCAGTGCACGCTACTGCCTTGGCTTAGCAGTCTGCAGAATTAACCAAATAATGAGAAGCACACAGTTTCAAAGGAATGCTTCCCACAGGCAACAAATCCCACAGCTTCAAGCTTGTGCCCACATGCACATACTATTGCAGATGATCAGAGATCACCCTACTAGCCACCGTCTCCGCTCTTGGCTAGATGGTCCTGCTATTCTGCACAGACACATGCCAGTTGCCAATTTTGGGGTCAGAAAGGAATTTTTCCTCTATATTAGGTTGGTATGGACTTTGTATGGGTTCACTTCCTCTGTAGCATAGAGTACCGTCCTTTTCATAAGACTTTCTGAGTGTATATTAACCAATAACTTCTTTATCACTGCAGTGGTATGGCATCAGCATTGCTCTCATCTCCTGTACATTCACCTATGTCGTAGGTGTTTCAGTCACTACGTATGGGGGAGGGTTTGAAGTGATGATCTGGTGGAGTAATTGGTTGCCCACTAATGCACTAAATTGGATTCAGTGGCTTAGGAGGCCCTTTGCAGTCATATGCTCCATGAATCCATGTTATTTTGGCACTGTACAAACCAATACGAAGGCAGCTCCTGTCTCAGGCACAGTTTGAAATCTAAGAAACCCATTTCGAGCAACAAGTGAGGGAGAAGCCTGTATAAAAACACGCACTGAGCTCCAGACATAAATGTTTCTGCGGTAAGCCGAAATGAACTGGAATTTTGATGAAATGTTTTATTTCCAGGAAAAGTTGATTTGTTGAAGTAAAGAGATTTTGCAGCAATGTGTCAGTTTAGACAAAAATAATAATTCAGAGTTCTTCCATGTGTCTACATTGTACACACATCCCACCAAGCCCCAGCAAGCAGCACGGGTTCACATGAGCTGCCTCCTACATCGAAAGAACTGCAGCTATAATTTGTACAGGGCTGCAGACAGGCTAATTATTACTGCCTGTACTAAGATTGTCAGGAGCAATTAGTTCATCCTATGCTAATTAATCTGACCATGAGACCATGCAGATGCAGCTGCATCTCTTGTGGATCAGGAAACTGCCTGTGCAGGGCAATGCAGGATGTGTTGAGAGCACTGCTTTCTGGCATGGCAGGTTCATTGTGTAGATGTGGCTTCAGTCCCATGTTAGAGTTTCTGATCAGAGAGAATGAAGCCCCAGGATAACCAGAGCACAGAGGCTTGGATGCTCAAATCAGTGAGAGACACAAGCTCAGGTTGCTGCCCTTAATCAGGGCGTTCAACAGGGATGTGGCCAACCTACTCTGGCCAAACCTAGGGGTCACACACATGAAAATAGGAAAAGAAAGGGCACATTTTTGTTCTATTTGTACTTGAGAACTAAACCTTAGAGGCTTGACTCTGGGATCGATGTTTTAGGGATGCTAGATCTGAAACTGCCTGCCTCCCAGAGAGATCTGGTCAAGGGTAGATGAAAGGCATCTGGGAAATAGAAACTGCAGAAGGCATATGTATCACTTTAGACCCGTATTAGCCTTAATTAGAGGACCGAGTGCTGGCGTGCTATGTGTTTCACTTAGATAAGCATCACATTTCTCAGAATCAGAAACCAAAACAGATTCTAGGGGTGGGCTTTTTCAGGAGCACTCAGTGTTGATCTAACACGACCACCGCTGAACTGGGGAGTTTTGCCATGAGTATCAAATGGCAAGAGAATTAAGCAGAGACCGAACCCTTTTGAAAAAAAATTAAATCCCATAATCTTTGTTGTAACAAGCAAATGAACACACAGATCAGATGCCAACATGTGTTCCCAAAGCAAAAAAGAAAGGCTTGCTTTGGGTCAGTGAGATTTTGAGTTAATAAAGCAGGCAAACTCAGATATGTCTTTAAAACATTATTCAGATCTGGGAGGGATGTCACTCCAGCATCCTGGTTTCACTCTCAAGTGGGAACATCAGCTGCTGTCTGCAGAAAAATCTTGCCCTGGTTTTAGCTGAACAGAGGGCTTTGCTTTGGACCAGAACCTATCACAGGTGGATGCACCAGTGCTGGGCAGCTGGGTTGGTAGTGACAGAAGAAACCGTCCTGCAAAGGATAGTATCATTTTGGACCTGCTCCATAGAAACCACTAGAGACTCCCTGCTGCTGTTATGCTGTTGCATAGTTGTGCTGTGCATAAATCATGTACTGCCTCCCCAAGCCCTAATCCTTTGGGAAACTGCGCCCGTTCTGCTATGTGCTACCCCCCCACCCCGGCCGCCCAATATAATGCAAGGGAATGTATAGGATTTGCCCCCCATTCTGTCCTGAGCCCCCATTGCTATACAATAGTTTAAAATTTGCCACCTCCCATCCCAAAAATGGCTGCATTGCAAGCAATGGGTGAAGTGCTTGCTGCATACACTACTGTTGACTAGAGGCATCATGCTTAAGGTGCATCTTCCATCCACCTTAGACACTAGACTCTTTTGAGCATCTAAAGTTAGATAAAGAACCACACACACACATACACACACAGTTAATCTGACTTATTTGGCAGCTAGCAATATT